ATGTATATTAACATCTAGCTCATATTATCATCAATTGTTTAACAGAAAAGCATTAATATTGAACATAATGAATAATTAAATGATTATTTTATAATTTTTAATAGTCAAGACATATATCCTTTTGTGTTTACCAGTGGATTCGAGTATATTTAATATTTTTTCTTCTAAATTTTTTCCTGTTTATTAGAATTTTATAGATCCAAATGAGATCAATTAATTCTAATAAACTGCTCGTCAATCCATCTTGGATGCCTACTGCTCCGAGTTCAATGCCCACAGTGAAATCGTTGAGAGTTTTAAATCCTTCCTCCTGCGTTAAAATTCATAATCATGCACATGTCCATCATTCATTCATAAGCATAGGTTAAATATTATATGTGTAAATTACAAATTTAGTGATTGAAATTTACTATCTTTCTTATTTTATTTATTGTATTTTATTTTTTCTATCTCAACACTAAATACAATATATTAATTTTTTTATCACTCGACCATTAAATAGTTACCGACGTTAAAATGGATAGTTATATATATGCAAAACAACGTCGTTCTGGTGAAATTTTTTTTTTTTTAAAAAACATCATTTTCAACACCATTAACTATTTAAACGGCCGAGTAACAAAAATATGTGAGAGAGTAAAGTTCAGTGACCAGAAAACCTCAATGTACTAAGTTAAGTGAGGAAACTGAAAATTTTTAAAGTTTAGTGACCATTTCGTTATATATATATATATATATTTAATTAAGCTAAAGAGATTATAAAATAATATATGTTCTAAGTACTCTCAATCATCTGACAATGAACATTTAATCACCTCATGCAGTAATTGATGCTCGAAGCTAAAGTCATTATAAAAATAGTATATATTTTAAATACTTTAAATTATTCAATAATAAATATTCAATCACCTTATTACAGTTGTTGATGTTCTAACTCGTGACTTTTAGAAATTGAAATAAGAATTAAAAGCAGTGGAAATCGGTTGTCAAGAGGAGACAATAGAAATTAATGTTTCGATTGCTGTGCTTCACCCTTCACTGTCAAACAATAATTAAATACAGTGCCCATCATAAATATTTGGGTAAACTATATCAGTGAGAACCTAATTATAATTCGTTTACATTTTGACCACTATTTTTGAATTCTATCAATCATGTCACCCAAAAATTTAAATATATTTAATCGGACTGCTTGCCGTTAATATTTAACGGAATTGCTGATGTTACAGATAATAAAATTAGTATAATTATATATTTAATCCTCAATGTTTATACATTCTATCAATTTGGTCATAATTTTAATTCAATAAAATAAATTTAATCTCCAATTAGATGATGTCACGTGTCACTATAAGATTATATGATATTTTATTAATTTTAATTATTAATTTTATTTTATTTTGCATTCAATCGATAAGCAAAAAAAACTTGAAAATATAACCTACTTCCAAGAAGAATTGAAGCTATGACATATAGTGAAGTAAGTCTCAATTTTATATATTCCACAGTATTTCATGTATAATATGTTATATTTAATGGCAAGGAATTTAAGAGACAATGCAAGCACTTTCACCCTTAAATCAAACTCTATATTCAATTAAATTAATGAAATTAAAAATTAAAAATTAAAATCTATAATATATAGAAAATTTTATTATTTTTACCCATTGATTTAATATATCAAGCACTTTAACCCTATATTCGTCTTGTAAACTCTTAAAAGATATATTCAATTTTAATTTCATTAATTTAATTATATAGGGTTTGATTTAAGGGTTAAAGTGCTTGCCTTCTCTCTTAAATTCCTAGCCATTAATTATAACAGATCATATATACAATGTTGTAGAACATAAATAATCGAGATGCTTAGCCTAGTGGTCTAGTCGTTCCATAATTTGTTGTAGGTTAAAGGTTTTATCCTCCTTAGAGCATCTCCAATCCTGCGCCATAGTGGAGTAAAATCTCCACTTTGGAGCTCCAATGTCGCGCCAAGGATGAGCGCCAGTTTAGCGTGGCAAGCAGTTTCACGCTACATGTAGCGTGTTACTGTAGCTGCGTTACAAAAATATTTTTTTAATGATTAAATTAGATTAAAGTAGATTAAATTTCAATATAGATAAAAATACATTAAAATTAGATAAATAAACGTACTGTTTTTTTGAAACATAAAAATACAACAAACATAAAAACATAGAATTTTTTAATGATTAAATTAGATTAAAGTAGATTAAATTACAAGATAGATAAAAATACGTTGAAATGCATACTAATTTTTTTAAACATAAAAACATAGAAAATACTAATAAAACTCAAACAATATTTTAACCGACAACCCAAACACAACAATTTATGAATGTTTTATTTATGTTTTTTATTGAGTCTCTGACTATTAAAAGTTACAAAATGGTCTCCTAACTATAGGATATTGTTTTGTTGAGTCATTCGACTATAAAAAGTTATAAAATGGTCATCCGACTATTCATTATGTTTCAAACTCGTTCATTTCCATTAAAAATTAACAATAGTCTGAGTTGGATGTTAATTTGTTGCCTGAGATATGATAGTCATTTGAGATTTTCAGATAAAATTTTATCATATCTCAATCTGTAGATTAACATCTAGCTCATATTATCATCAATTGTTCAACGGAAAAGGATGACTATTAAATATAATCAATAATTCAGTGACTATTTTATAAATTTTAATTGTCTGATTACTCAACAAAATCAAAGTCTTATAACAAACAAATAATTTTACAACTATTAATAGTCTAAAGAATTAAAAAAGAATACGCTACAATCGAGAGATCATTTTTACACTTTATCCAACAAAATTAATTTCCGTGTCCATCTTTATTATATTGTATTATATTTTCCCACTCCTCGAGGATAACAAACCACAAAATTAAAATTTTCAGTGCCCGTCTTTTTTTAATCATAATTTAAAAACTATTTTAATTCCCCTCTCCTCGAGTATAACAAACCCGACATTGAAAACATTATAATTTTTGTGCCCATCTTTATGAATATTAATTTTTGGAGACCTCGTAGATCGGACACATTTATAATTCTGTCCCTGCCATTTAATTTTTTTAATATTGTAATGTTGTTTAAGTATTAAACAGAAGTACAGAAGCATAGTTAATAACCAAAAAGAGAATCATGCCATTTATAATTTTGTATTGATGTTGAGAGTGTGTTATGAGATATACCGAGTTTTGAGATACATATGATATCACGTATTCGTAGTTTTCACAATTTCTACTATTATTGTGGATTATTATTTTTATCATCGTGGAGATAGGCAAAATTGAACCGCGTTAAATATCATATATTGGGTGTATCTTACTTTATATTGATCTCACTTTGCCTATTTTTCCTCTTACAATTTTATAACAAGTGGTATCAAAGTCGTGATTCAATATGGGATTTGAGAGGAATTTGTTGTTACAATTTTGTCAGCAATATTGAAGACATACAACTTTCTAATATAATTTGTGTCAAGGAAAAAATTATTAGATATTGACTCAAATTTTAATTCGAAATTAAGTTATATATTTTTTATAATTATGATGGTTGAAAATTATTTAACAATTAAGTTTATTTAGTAAAAATTCTTATTGAATAAAAAATCATGGTGACCAATTGATTCTATAGACACAGAGTATATCTTAGCCTTTAAAATTATGAGAGGGAATTTTTTTATAGGTGTGTAATATTTCCGTAGTCTCTGTAACTTTTAGTGTTCATGGAATAAAGATGATTTTTAAAGGGATATTTAGATTATGTTTTGAGGTATACTGAGTTTTTGTATAGATAACATATTTTAAAAAAATGAAAAATCATGTATTTATACTATGTGATATCTACATTTATAGTAAAAAAAATACGATGCACCCAACACGAGGAATAGCATGGTAATTTTATTTGAAACAGACGGATTTTGATTTGATCGGATTTAATTTGAGGGTAATAGTGTAATTTCTTCAAATGAATGTAGGGATAATTATTATACTACGCTCTTTATATTTTTTTAATTAAATCATTATTTTATATCGGGTCGGATTGAATTGGATCAAAGTTGTACTCTAAAATTTCGGGACAAGTCAGAGTTGGATGGAGGATATGTATTTTCGGGTTGGATTAGGTCGGATGGAATGTATATATTTTTTAGATCATGTTAAATTAAGGTAGATTATTTATACTTTTCTGGTCGAGTCGAATTGACCAAAAATCCGACACAAGCCGAGCCGATGCATCCCTAACGAGGAAGACGGAAAAACGATCATGTTGTGTAAAATTCACAATGAGGGATTTATATAAGCTTTTAAGGATTTATAGTAAGTTCAAATCTCCCCTGCAATTTTTTAGTATTTTCTCGGGAAAAAAACTGATAGCTTTATATAGGATTTGAACCGAGTGAAAGACAGCAAAATCTTGGTCAAATTAGGCAGGTTTCAGAGATCTATCTGGTTCTGTCTGTATGTTCTTAAGGGTTCAATGTTATACAAAAAATAGAAGTGGCACTTGTGGAGATGAAGACGAAGAAATTAGGGGTTTTGGCGAGAGTGAAAGGAGCAGATAATGGAGATGTGTTGGCTACTTGGGGACCGAGGGGGGCATTATTTATAAAACAAAATAAAAGGATAAACTACACGTTTAGTATCTAAACTATTAATTTTATTTTGTTTTTAGTACCTTAACTTTCATTTATTTCAAAATCATACATAATATTTACTTTTATTTCATTTTAATAGTCTGTCGTTAAAAACTTAACAGGTTTAATACCTTCTTTTAGAATTCCGACTTAATAGTGGAGTGACTTAAAAATAAATTCAAAACATTGATGTCTATTGATGGGAACAAAGTGGTTAAGACAATTCATAGACGATTCACCCTTTTTTATTTTAGTGGAAAATTACAATCCAAGGTCAATGATCGAAACAGAGCTATACTAAAGTTTGGATGACTAGACATGGTTTTCCCAATTTATTATTATTCGGACCATACAAAAACACCATCTCCATCTTTATAAGAGGAAAACAAAGGTGAAATGTGTCCAAGTTGAAGAAAGAATGGGCAATGAATTTGTTTCCTGCAGCTTCCTCCTCTTGCTTTTTGCGACGGTAATCATTCTTCTACTAAAAACCTAATGGTATAAGTGTCTCTAATGAAATGTTTATAATATTATATTAATTCAACATTTTGGTATGCAGCTTGCTCCTGGTGTAGTCACAAATGGAGTTGATGTCCTACGACTCCCCAGCATGGGTCATTCATCGTCCCACATCGGCCACTCGAGCTCGCCCTCGAGCGCCGATGCCATCAAGGACCCTACGGCCAAGGTGTTCGCCCTCATAAAAGATCTCGTCATTGGGAACCGTATGGCCGTCTCTTTTCCCTACAAGGAACCGTCTTCTGTGAACTTCTATCCGAAAGAAATAACGGAAGGCATCCCTTTCTCGTCCGAGGCGGTCCCGGAGCTTCTCCAATACTTCTCGTTCGCCCCGGACTCGAAGCAAGCCCTGGGGATGAGACAGACGCTCGCGCTCTGCGAGAAGGAACCGAAAGAAGGCGAGATCCGCGGGTGCGTTACGTCCGAGGAATCGCTCGTTCATTTCGCTCGTCGTATCTTAGGACGGGACGTGCGAGTTGAGATCCTGAGATCGTCTCTAGTTTCAAAGACAACTCCCATTGTCCAAAACTACACGATACTAGGTTTCAAAGAGATAGCGACCGGGAACATCGTACCGTGTCATAACCAGCCGTATCCTTATCCGGTGTACCATTGTCATTACCAACTCGGCATCGATAACAAAGTGTTCGAGGTCTTACTCCGAGGCGACAACGGCGAGATGGTCAACTCGGTGTTTTTCTGTCACATGGATACCTCTAAATTGACCGACGACCACGTCGCATTCCGTCTTCTCGGGGTCAAGCCGGGGGAGTCCGAAGTTTGCCACTTCTTCACGGCGTACGATCTAGCTACGGTTCCTATCCCCAAGTAAAAAGAAGGGGGCTTCCGTTTCATGAATGCATGTACTATGGAATAAAATGAATAATAAAAATGTACTGCTTAATTAAAGACTAATTAGGTGGGTAAATGAATCAAGTATTAATTAACACAATTTTTTTCATATTGATTAACTTATTTTTAAGTTTGTTTCAACGTATTAAGCGAGTTTACTAGTTACGTCTACATGATGTTTACGTTTATTGTCACTTACTAAATTTTTTTTTGAAGAGATATCTTATAATTAGAGGTGCACCAAAAAATTCGAATATCCGATTTTGAGCAAAAAATATCCGAAACCGGATTTGGGAAAAATCGGTTTTTTTTAACCGGATATGATATTTTAAAACCGGATATGATATTTTAAAACCGGATAGTATAACCGGTTTGGGAAAATTTTGGACGACCGAATTTTTCCCCGATTTATAAACCGTTTTTAAAAAAACCGGATAAAAATCTGGTTTTTTATTCGGAAAAAAATCCGGTATGGGGTTTAAAAATCTGGTCTGGGTTTTAAAAAATTAGATGATTGGATTTTTTTCCGATTAAAACCCGGTTTTTTTTTTTTCAAACCGAAACCGGTTACATCATCCGGCCTTCCAAACTGGTTATGATCCGAACCGGTTTTTTTATAAACCGATTTTTTGACTTGGTGAAAAAGCTGGATAGGTTTTTATCCGATCCGGATCGGATTTAAATCCGGCTATGTGCATCTCTACTTATAATCATCCCATATTAATCATAAAAAAGTTTGTTCCATTTAAAATTTTAAATGTATGTTTGTATTGTCCAAAATAATCTCAACCAATCATCCTACTGTGGTTTGCTCAAACTCGTGACATCTAAGAATAACAATAATTTCTTTAACTACTAAGGTTGTGTATTCGTGCACTGTATTTCAACTATTAGATGTTCATTAAGAGTATGAAATTTAGTTTGTTTCGAATTATTGTTATGTGTTTTTTTTATAATCAAATAATTATTCCTATGAATCCATACTAGATAAATGTTTAATACTTATTCCCATATGTAATGGGGTAAGGGGAGGTAAGATAGTAAGCTGCCCCCAACACCAAGGTGATAGCAACTTCCGTAGAAGACCTCCGAATTATGCAATGCCCTCCGTGAGACTCGATCCCACGACCTCAAGGTTAAAAACCTTGTGCTCTACCAACTGGATGATCATTTCTGTAAAGTACACAAATAATTCCTTAATTATAAGGTATTGTTTTATCAAATCTTTCAAAAGTTGAAATTTGAGAAAATAATGACAACTTGTTGGTTTTGAATTGTCGAAGATATTTCTTAAGATTTGATCATATTTGAATCGATACAATAATCAAAAGCAATTTTTGATATTGAGGCTTCGAATATTTTATAATATAACAATTATCTTTGGCACATTTCATGTCTTCATCTTAAGTGACATGACGGGTTAATAATTCAACACATGTTGAAATATAATGTTTTTACCGTTAATCAATTAATATTTTTCTTCCTATAGATAGAGATTATTTAAATTAAAAAAATTAAAATATTTAGATTTAAAATATCTAAAAAAATTAAAATAACCATAGTGGAGCTAATTTTAACATTACGCGAATAAACTCTAATAAACTACACGTCAATCCATCTTTGATGCTTACTGCTCCGAGTTCAATGCCCACAGTGAAATCGTAGAGAGTTTTAAATCCTTCCTCCTGCGTGAAAATTCATAATTATGCACATGTCCATCATTCATTCATAAGCATAGGTTAAATATTATAAGGGTAAATTATAAATTTGGTGATTGAATTTTACTCTATTTTATATTTTATTTACTGTACTTTATCCTTTTTATCTCCTCACTAAATTTAATACATTAGTTTTTTTTCCTTTTTTTTATCACTAGACTATTAAATAGTTAACTGCGTTAAAATGGATAGTTACATAGATGCAAAACGACGTCGTTCAAGTGAAAATTTTATTTTTTTAAAACAACATTATTTCCAACACAGTTAATTATTTAACGGTTGAATGACCAAAATATGTGAGTAAAGTTTAATGATCAAAAACTTCAATGTACTAAGTTCAGTGAAAAAACTGAAAATTTTTAAAGTTCAGTGATTAAATTTATATTTTACCGATATTATCAATATTAATTATTAGCAATAAAAGCTATGGTTGATTACCTTCACGTGGTGTATGACTCACACGGCTATTAATGAACGCAATAAAAGCTTTTGTCTTGACTCATTAATTTTTATTGACGTAGATATTTTTTTTTAAATCTGTCAAGAAGCGAATTTCACTTTGGGCTATTAAAAATTACATTATGGTCATCCGATTTTTATTATTTTGTTAAACTAGTAATTTTTCGTTTAAAAAATTGATGATATTTTGAGATGAATGTTAACATGTTTGACTGTGATATGATAAAATCTGATCACAAAATCTCAAACGATTGTCATATCTCAGGCATCATGCTAACGTCAAGCTTAGAGAACCGTTAAATTTTTGCCAAAAAAAATGATTTTGGAACATAATGTACAGTCATGTAATCATTTTGTAACTTTTAATAATCGATGGACGTAATAAAGCAACATTCTATAGTGTATAATCATTTTGTAAATTTTAATAGTCAATAGACTTAATAAAGTAGAATCATATAATCGATGACCGTATACACAAACTATAAAAAAAATCGTGACTATTTCGTTATATATATATATATATTTGATTAAGCTAATATGATTATAAAATAATATTATTAATCATAAGACAATGAATATTTAATCACCTCATGCGATCACTGATGCTCGAAGCTAAGGTTATTATAAAATAGTATATATTCTAAGTACTATAAATTATTCGACAATGAGTATAAGGGTCTCCACCGTATTTAAGAGTCTTGTAAAAATAGTATATTTAATATTTTTTCTTCTAAATTTTCTTTCTTTTTATTATAATTTTATAGATCCTGTTGACGAAAACGGGTAAAGAAAACGAAAGAACACGAGAATTTTACGAGGTTCGGCAATGTGCTTACGTCCTCGATTCCTAGGCGGCGCTAGAAGTTTTATTCAATGATATTTTAGGTCTAGGTTACATCTCTATTTATAATAGAAAACCCTGGTACATAAGTTACACTCCGCTCCATCTCCTGTCCTCTTTACTGGTATATTTATGAGCCATACCTAACAAATCTCCACCTTGGCGATTATTCTGCCTCTTGAAAATTCAATGTGGGTTGGGTTACCTTGATTCTTTAACAACTCAAAACATTCAACAAGTCCAAGCAATGCTTGAACTTGTCTGTCGTAACTGGCTTAGTGAACATATCAGCGGCATTTTCATCAGTATGTACCTTCTGAAACAAAACCTCTCCAGATGCAACCAACTCTCTGATCTTGTGGAACCTTACATCAATATGTTTAGTTCTAGCACGATACACCTGATTCTTAGCCAAGTGAATAGCACTTTGATTATCACAAAGCAACTGAACTCCACCTTGTTGAACACCCAACTCCTTCACTAAACCAGTAAGCCATAAAGCTTCTTTTGCAGCTTCAGCCGCTGCCATGTACTCAGCTTCAGTTGTAGATAGAGCCACAATAGATTGAACAATAGACTTCCAACAAATAGGCCCCCCACCAAGAGTAAAGACATACCCTGTCGTAGATCTTCTATTATCCAAGTCACCTGCATAGTCTGAATCCACATATCCTACAACCAAAGGATTATCCCGCTGACTCCCAAAAACAATTCCATGTCCCACAGTACCCTTTAAGTACCGAAAGATCCACTTGACTGCTTCCCAATGTTGCTTACCATGTTTAGACATGTACTTACAAACTTGACTAACAACATAAGCTAAATCAGGACGAGTACATACCATCGCATACATCAAGCAGCCAACAGCATTAGAATACGGAACCTTTGCCATATCTTCAGCTTCCTTATCTGTCTTGGGGCACTGTTCTGATGAGAGCTTAAAGTGATTCGCCAATGGAGTGCTAACTGGTTTTGCGCTGCTCATCGCAAACCTTTATAGCATTTTCTCAACATAACCCCGTTGAGATAGCCGCAGTTTCCTTGAGTCTCTGTCCCTGCAAATTTCCATTCCAAGAATTTTCTTTGCAGCACCTAAATCTTTCATATCAAATTCCTGACTCAATAAAGTTTTCAAACCGATAACATCATCCATGTTCTTCGCAGCAATCAACATATCATCAACATACAGTAATAGAAAAATAAAAGAACCATCATCAAGGCTCTTAACATAGACACAACAATCATACTCACATCGGTTGTAGCCAATCTTGATCATATAGGAGTCAAACTGTTTATACCACTGTCTCGGAGACTGTTTTAACCCGTACAAAGATTTCTTCAATCTGCAAACTAAATGCTCGTTTCCAGGTTGAGTGAAACCTTCAGGTTGCCGCATGTAGATCTGCTCCTCTAAATCACCATGCAAAAAAGCAGTTTTAACATCCATCTGCTCTAAATGCAAATCCCAACTAGCCACCAATGCAAGTACTGCTCGGATTGAAGTATGCCTGACCACAGGAGAAAAGATTTCATCATAATCAACTCCTTTCTGCTGTGAAAAACCCTTCGCTACCAAATGAGCCTTGAACTTCTCCCCCTCTTTTTCTGTTACTGCTGGTTTCTTCTTATACACCCATTTGCAACCAATCGGCTTCTTACCCTCAGGAAGGGGAACTAACTCCCATGTGCGATTGTGATTCAAAGACTCCATCTCCTCAACCATGGCTGCCATCCACTTGTCGTTTTCCTGACTAGTAACGGCATCATGAAAAGTAACTGGATCATCACTGCTAACAGTAAGTGCAAAAGATACCAAGTCTTCAAAACCCAATCTGTTCGGAGGCTTTATATTCGTCCGTCTCACCCTGTCTCTGGCGAGACTATAATCCTGCAAATCATCCGTAGTGGAACCATCAGAAGTCGGTTGAAAAGTTTCTAGTTTCTCAACTGGAAACTGCTCGAAATCTACCACTGTCGTGTCTTGCTTCTGCTGCAACATAGACTGTTCATCAAAAACGACATCTCTACTAATCACAACTTTCTTCGCAACTGGATCCCAGAACTTGAATCCTTTGAC